CATCAAAGATCAGAGGGACAGGCAGGCTGCTTTGAAATGAATCAAAAAGTAAGATGGGACAGACAGGTGGACAGTTGTGAGATAAAGCAAATTTAGTGAAATGTTCACTGGAGAACCCAAGTGGTGGGTATAAGAGTGCTTATGATTCTTTCCACTTTTTAATGTTTGAACATTTTCATAACAAAATGATGGGAGAACTAGACAGACTATCCACGTTGACACGACTCTGAAAAATTAAGACTTAAAGGAATGAATTGTGTTGCTCATCCGGGGCGTTCAGAGCTTCAAGTTCTGTCCAATCCAAGTTACTGCCTTGTCTAAAATGTGGTCCCTCCAGTGGCTCCACAAGATTCTATGACCTTGGGCAGGACCAATACAGCCCTGTGGGGACAGCCACACGTGGTTGCAAGCAGACAAGACTGAGATGTGGGGCCTAGTGCCAGCTTGTGGAACATTCCCACACCTTCTTCTCTCCTCCACCAATCCATCCTGTCTCGGCCTCCATGCTGCTGTGAGACAGGCTTGGTACCTACTGGATGCCCCTGGGCCGCTCAGCAAACAGTGGTGAGCACACAAATCACCTGAGACTTTGTTATAAGGCCCACTTTGATCCTGTAGGTCTGGAGTCAGGTCGAAACTCTGCATTTCCAACAAGCTTGCGATGCCTCTTGATGTAGACACTGCAGGGCCCGGGGCACCCTGTGAGTGGTGAGGCCCTGGACCAGGGGTTCTCTACACTGGCTGCACCTGACAATCATCCAGGGAGGTTTGAAACCACCATGCCTGGTCCTATCCCACGCTAATCTAATCAGAATCTCCAGGGCTGGGTGAGTCTCAGGCGCAGTCCAGACTGAGACCCACACCCACCCTGTGTCTAGGCATCTCCTCTGTGACCACCCACTGCTAGTGCAATAAACATTTGCCCTCCAGGAAAGACCTTCTGATTGCTGCAGACCAGGTGGATGGCCACCTCCAGCCCCACACAACCACACTGGTGCCAAAGAGGCGGGATGGAGCGTAGCCCGTGCCAGCCTGCGGGCTATATCAACGGCCCCAAGACCAGCCGCACACCAGTCCCACAGCTACTGCTAATCGCCACCTGCAATACAGGATAGGGTGGTGGCGGTGCTGCCTGCCTTCTGACACTCGAAGGTCTCATTCCCATACTCACCTGCCAGGCGAGGCGCCAGCATCCTCCCTGGCCACCAACCGGCTGATGAGGTTTGATGAAAACCTCCAACCTTGGACTCTGAGGTTTGCTTTAATTTTATTAAATTATATCTTTATTTATAAGTTACAAGTCTATATTTAGAAATTACAAATATACACATATTATTTTATGATTAATGTTTCTCCTTCTCTGGGAAGGTTATCAGGAAGGGCCAAATAGCTGGGCTGGGAAGTGTTCAAGACCCCTGAGAGCTGGCTGTGGCACAGAGGACAAATTCTAGCAAAATGTGCTTTGAGCTTTAAAGAGTCACAGTCTCTTCCCTTATGTATGCGATTTCAAATCAGATGACCCACAGGACGATGATCTAAGCATCAACTAAGCAGTTTTGGAGGCAATGGCTGCCACAGGAAAACCTGCAGCAAATCAGCCTGAGGTCGAGAGCAATTCCAGCCACAGTGTGACCATCTCTGCCCCTCTGCCCTGTGGGGCGTGAGTGCCCCACTGCCCTCAGAAAGGCAGGGTGTAGGGGGAGGCCAACGTTCTCAAAGATGGTGGGTCAAGGTTTGCAAAGACCAAATGGGCACTTTAGTGAAAGAGTAAGGGTCAGATGAACAAAGGTGCACTAACAGGAATTTTCACACCGTCCTCAGAATTTGAGCAGCAGCACAGACTACCCGTCAAGGATGACAAGGGCTTAACCTTTAAGACACCCAGTGGTAATAAACAAAATGTTAGCTCTGGGCTTATTCAACCATCTGCATGGTCTTTTATGTCTGTGAGCATCTCCCAGACCTACCCCGAGTGCTGTGATGCAGGAGGACTCAGCAGTTCTACACACTCAGGGTGGTAATCTGCAGCTGGGCAGGGCCCAGCATATACCAGGCTCCTGGCGGGGCTCATCTTCCTGTGTAAACTTGGACAGCAGAAAGAAGCGCAGTGAAATCAATGGCTCACTCACTCCCCTGAAAGCACAGATGGCTCCTAAACTCCTAGGAGATGGCCAATTCAATCAATAATTGGGTTAGGGAAAAGGTGACAACAGACAAGCAATAAACTCTGTCCCTGCCGACAGTCAGGCTGCTGATGGTGAGCAGGAATGGCTCAGGATTGATGCCCCCGACAGAAGCTAAGCTGGTAGCGTTGAGAATACCCTACCTAAAAGGCAGGCCCTGACTCTCAGACAAGACGCTTACCTGCGCACCCTGTCTTCTCAGGATGAGAAGAGGGGGCGGGACAAAGTGGGGAAGGAAAGGGCTCAAAATCCCAGAGAGACAAAGCACAAAACAAAACTCTCCTGATTCCAACCCAGAGAACTATCATGAAGAGGGAACAGAAAAATCTAACTGCCTTCCTAGGGAAAAGACTCATCTCACATCAGGCATTACCTAACACGGACAGAGCAGTCAGCTTTCTGGGCATCCACTCCAGAACAGTGCCCAATTTGGGATAACTCCCACCCCAGTCTCAGTCCACGTGGCTCACGAGAGGCTGACCCCATCTGAGCTGTAGAGCACTTCATCCCGCTGGCCGGGGATGGGCACATAACCCAACAGAGCCAGAGCACTGGGCCGGGAGCCCAGCCAGAATGGTTGGGAAGAGGCTCCCTCTTTTAAATAGGGGCGTGAGGCTCAGGCAACACAAGCCTAGAACTGACCAGTGGCCCATCCTGCCACAGAGCCCAGAAAAAAGGGACCAGATAAGGCAGGGACGGGTCACTGTCAACCTCATCCAGCCATCTGGACCAACTGTGCCTGAAACCAAGGACTCTTTCGGTTACATGAGTAATAGATTCCTTTTTTTGACTTGAGCCAGTCTGACAAGGATTTCTATCATTTGCAACCAAAAAAATTCTGATTAATACTTTCTTCTCCCAAATAAAGCCTGACTGTTTTGAAGTTTTCCTTTTTAGTAAAGCTCAGCAGATGTTTGAATGCCCTACCAATTTAACTCTGCAAGTATTCATCCCATGAGATTTCCAAGGAGAATACCAGAGATGGGCTCAGGAAGGACGGGCTGGCCGGTGCTGCCTCTCCCCTCTCTGAGCCCCGACCAACAGTCCCTTCCACAGAACTCAGCCGGAGCATGGCTCTCAGCGGGGGATCCAGAAAAGCCCCCACTGGCTTGGGCCCAGGACCAGCCCTCTATTCAGCTGCAGCTCCTCCAAGGACTGCTGTGCCCCTGGGCAGGCCTCGCCCCTTGGCAGCCACCTTGGGTCCAGGCCAGGGGCTGCCGGACAGCCTGCTCCCTGTTCACTGACGGTCACAAAGGCCGTGATGAAAGGCTGGCGCCAAAGACAGCGCGGCTGGCCCAAGGCTGCAGTGCGGACAGTAAGCACACACCAGCCAGGTGCCCTGTCTTCTAATGGACATCAAAGCAACTCAGGCCACTGTGACAGTCTTAGAGCAAAAAGTCATCATCAGGAGATTGCAGAAGCAGCCTACAGGGAGCTCTGAAGCAGGCCTGGGCTCTGGCCCTGCTCTGCCCCTGACCAGGGGAATGGGCCTTGGTCCCCTTCTTCTCCTCTCCAGGTTTAACTTCCATCTTTTTTTTTTTTTTTGTCTTTTGTCTTTTTTCTGTGTCCGGCAACGGATCGCAACCCTCAGTGTTGCCCCCGTACCGGACCGGGGACCAGCAATGGGATCACAACCCTCGGTGTTGCCCCCGCGCCTCGCTCAGCCAGTGAGCGGGAACCGGTCTGTATGCGGAATCCGAACCCTCGGGCGGGAGCGCCGCCGCGCTTCCCAAATGGCACACTTATCCAGTGCGCCACCAGGCCGGCCCCTTAACTTCCATCTTTTAAGGATGAGGCCACCGCAGCATGGCACTGGTGACTTATGCCTTCTACTCCTTTGCCAAGGCAGTTTTCAAAGCTCGTTCACACCTGCGATCAATGTATGCTCACCACAATCCTGGGAACGAAGCAGGCATCATGCCCACTTTATATGGTTTGGTGGGTAAGGCACAGGTCTGGAGCCAGAGCTAACTGGTCCTGCCCCCACCAGCCTGCAACCCTGACCACCAGGCTTCTCTCTCATCTGTAAAAGGGAGTGGTATCTACCTCGGAGGGTGACTGGGAACAGAGAACAGCTGCAAAGTACTTAGCACCCTGTCTGGCAGTCAGTAAGGGCTCCATAATTGTGGCTATTGTTATCATTCTTAAAAGTGGAGGGTAAGGAGTGCTGCTCTGCTGGCTCACAGGCCACACTGGGGACACAGGGATACAGGACATGGGGCTTCCTTCTCTGCCCTGCCCAACACCCAGCCCCTTTGAACACTCCATGACCTTTTCATCTGGGTCGGCTATGTTGAATGCAAGTCAACATCTTGATAAACAAAGCCAGTTGCCCTAGAGCACCATGCTAATCTCTTGGCAGAGGTGCAGTTCTTTAGGCCAAACTCATTGGGGGAGGGGGGAGGGGTGTCAGGGCTCTGGGATTTAAAGCAGCAGTACAACAGGCAGATCAACTCAGACTTCCTGGGTCCAAATCCTGGCTCTCCAATTTCTAGCTCTGAGTAAAGTCTGTTCACCTGTAAACACAGTATCTAGTTCACAGGATCCAATGAGTTGACACGTATAAAGCTCTTAAAACACACAAACACTAGGTAAGGGTGCGAGGCTCAGCTACTCACATCACTAAGGGCACGGGGGACACATGCACTGTGATCTGAGCAAGCCCCCGATCTTCCTCTTGCCCTTGGCCCTGGTCTCCTTGCCTGGCCATGCCAAGGGCTGCTCCCTGCTTGTCACAAAGCCACAGGGACTGCACAGGGACTACTGTGATTTTACTCCATTGGCTCCATCAAGGCAGACACAGCACAGCATCCTTACCGATAGGTTGCCACTTCCAGGCTGAGGCCAGTCTTCACCTGCACAAGCTCCTGATAGTCCCGCAGCCGGTCAGCCATGGCCAAGGTGAGGGCCGCCTTCTCATCCTCCAGGCAGTCAATCACTCGCTAAAGAGAGCAAAAGGGCTTTTAGATGAGAGAGCTGGAGCTTTACTGGGTTGAACTACTAAAGGTATCAATAGTTCAGGGCATAAAAAGAGATGAAAAACCTCCAGGCTTATTAAACATGCAGTCATTTGCAAGGATGATGTCAAATATTCAATCTCTTCCACATGGCAGATTTTTTTTTATTGCATATGGAAAATTTTGATAGGACATGGCTTCTCTGTTCAAACTCTCTAATAAACATGAATGCTTAGGAGTTTACTCAAATCATCTCTACAGATTAGGCACCAGTCCACTTAGGAAAGCCATACATCAAACCAGTCATCTAAGATGCTACTGAAAATAAGCCAAGACTAAAAATCGGGGGTTTTACAATATTGAAAACAGAAGTCACTCAGATTTGAATTAGAAGGTTCCCCCAAAGTCAGGCTTTCCCAACAATAAGCTGGTAAACTGATATACAGCTCTGTGTTTCCCCTAGAAATGCTACTTTAAAATCATCTGGGGAGAAATATATTTGGGCATAAATAACAAAATTCAGACCCAGATCTAAACCCTCTTGTTGGGAGTGCTAGCAGCACGCAGTTAATGGAGGTCGCCTTCGCATGGTCTTCTCGAGGCTGCACTCAAGCGGGTGTCTCTCCCCCAGCTGCAGGTGCTCCTCCTGCACCGCCCTCTGCAGATGAGGGTCTTTAGAAAGTTTGTGGAAAAACAGAATCGAAAGATAATACAAATCTTTCTGGGAACTTTTCGAAGTACCATCATACAAGCCACACAGCATGCACTTGGTGAACTGAATTTAAAAATGAAATGATCAAGATGATATTGTCCTCCAAATGTACCACTTTAGGTCAACAGTATCTTTTAATTACTGAAGGCAATGGCTTCATTTGCACCATCTTACAGTTTTGTGTTTTCCTCCTAGTTGTTAACTAGCTGATCTAAGGAATAATCAACCAAACAAATATCTAAACATTAAAATAATCCATAGACTTAACTTCCGATTTGTAATGAAATAGTATTATTTCTGAACATAATTAACTAAGCTAAGCTACACCTATAAACTTCTATTTTTGTAATAATTCAAAAATTGCAAGACTATCAGGAAAGGGAATATATTTTCATTGCTACTAGAATCACTCCACCAAAGGCACCTTGCTAGATGCTGAGGTGCCACAATAAACATTTAAATACGTAATGTTTGTAAAACCAAGGAATGGACTTAACTAAGCTCTCACACCAGATGCGTCACTTTTTAAAATACATAAACAGTTCTGCTTCCCGTAACCGTTCTATTTCTAAGCCAATGATTGGTGTTACGTTCTCTTCATATACAAAGGGTGCGAAAAACAAAAAACACTTAGTTTTTAAAACAAAATTTAAGAATCACTGGCTAATGTCCCAGGTGGATGTATGTTAACAGACCCCAAAGCTGGCATTATAAGCAGATAAAGAGGTTCACCAAAGCAGACCATTTGCCAGTCTTGATTTAAGTGAGAGCTGCCAGAATTTAGACACAACATTCACACGCTCTATAGTTAAGTCTCGGTGTTAAAATCCTATGTTCCCCTGTTTTAGAGAGAATATAAATCCCAGTACAAGGTTATAATATAAAATGTGCTGTAAACAATTTAAATATATATATAGTATATATCTAACCTTTGTACTACAAGAAATTTGACCTAAATATCAAAACTTGAGAATTTGTAATAATTTTTTCTTTACAAAGAAATTCAAGTGTTATTCAAATGCTTAGAAAAAAAATCAGATGAACTCAATTCTCCAACCACAAACCTCCTACGCAGGTCAACATTTCCCAGCCATGCCACAGGGGTACACACGAAGATTCTCTCCTCCCAGAGGACATGGAATAGTTCTGTACCCCACAAAATATGAAGAGGAAAATCGAACTATATTTAAGTTGAAAAAAGCATAGTTCCAACCACCTTCCATGTGAGTCAACTCTTCCTAAATTGTCAAAGGAAAATTAGTTGACTTTTGGAAGCAGAAGCCTAAGACTTATTGGCTCCCAAAGGTCTCCACAGAAATCGTAACCAATTCCTGCTGGTTGAGGAAAGCCCAGACTTAGGCTCTGCTTGGCTTGAAGTTTTCAAGCTGAGGGCCAGGCCAGAGGCAGTGGAGCACCAGCCAGGGGATGCTAATTCTAACCCAAGCAGAAGCAGTTTCACCTAAGGTTGCAAAAGCTTGAGAGAGAGGTCACCTTTTTTAGCTGCTATTTAGAGAACTTTTGGGCGGTGTAACCACTGATGATGAAATCTAGCTCTATGCCAGGGAAAGCATGCTGCTGCTAGTATCAAAAGAATTAATTTTCTCTTAACCAAACAGGAGCCACCCTTGCTAAGCAAGTCACACACTTAGAATCCTGAATGCTAGAGCTCGAGGGGATTTAAAAACTGTGATAACCTCACTCAGACACAAAAACTAAATACATTAATAATAAGCATAAATTGGATGCTATGTATTTATGGCTCCAGCCTAGAGAGCACCCTGAACTGCAGACTCAGATCTTACAGTCCCAGGTGGGTATCTAAGAGGCATCTCATGCTGAACATGTGTGAATCAAACCCAGGTCTCCCACCCAAATCTGCCCCCCTGCACCAACCTCCTCCAGCAAAGAGCACTCCCTTCTTCAAGTTGCTCAGGCCCCACGCCCTGGCGTCAACTTTAATTTTTCCCCCTCTCCCCCACCACATCCAACCCATCAGCAAACCCTGCTGGCTTCAACTTCAAAGTAGGTCCTCTTCTCAGCCCCCTCACTCCCACCCTTGGCCCAAGCCTCCAGCACCTCCTACCTTGATTATTGCAACAGTCTGTTAACAAGGTCTCCCTGCTCCCACTCTTGCCAATACAGTTTGTTTTCAACACAGCAGTGACAATGATTCCATTAAGACACAGTCAGGTCCCAACTCCCCTCCGCCCAGAACCCCCCAGTGGCTTCTCACAGCATTCAAAATCCAAGTCCTGTAGCAGCCACTCTGCCCCGCATTTGCTGCATCCTGGCCACGCTGGCATCCTGACTGTCTCAACTCCATGCACTGTTTCCATCTCGAGGCCTTTGAGGTTAAGAGACTTTCCCTGTTTTGTTTGGTATTTTCCACTGCTGTATCCCCAGCACCGAAGAGCCGAGCTGGGCACAATAAGCGCTCAACAGCTGTTAGTTGAATGAACGAGCTGAACACATGCAACCTGTCTACTACTTTCATTATTCCTATTTCACAAATGGGGAAACTGAGTTGCAAACAGATTAGGGAACTTAACCAGCTCAAACAGTGGCAGAATCAGAATTTAGGCTAGGACAGGACAGGACAGCTGCAGAGAGCTGACCCTTAGCTACATGGCTCATCTTGTCCTCTTTCCAATCAAAAGACAGTTTTCATTCAATCATGTTTTGGGGGCTTGGAATCCTTTCACAGCCTCAGTGGCTAAGAGCTCACTTTCATAAGCAAAAATCTCAGTGCTTATAAGATAAGGCTGGCATAAATCACAAACGTCTTGTTTTTTCCCAAAGCCCCTTCCTACAGACTGGTATGTTACTCAGGCTTCAAGTGATGTAGATTACATATAAAATACTTGGAACTTGGAGGTCAGTTCAGCAAACTTTGTGCTCACAAATCTGAGTCGTGGGGTAGGCCAGTGAATATCACCTCACATAGAGAAGGCACATAGACCACCTGGGAAGGATCAGATTTCTCAGAGTAGAGTCCTACCTAGTGAGTGTATTTCCCCCTTGAGCTGCAGAATGGGGTCCAGAGGCCAGGGAGATGCTGGGCATTCTGTGGGGGCCACCCTCCACCGCAGCCAGCTCCCTCCTCCGGGTATGGGAGGGGAGGGGAGGTATTAAACCACATGGAACACAGAATGAAGTAAATGGAAGAGATTAATGCTAAAACTATTCTGATGACAGCCAGCTGAAAGGGTCTTAAAGTATTTTTAGGATTTTAAGTTAACAGGGCACCTCCAAACTAGCCCTTCGGAAAAGCAATCATCATTCTTCTATGAATGCAAAGGGAATACTGGTTAAAGGTTTCTCTGATGAAACAGAAGAGAGAGAATGTTGCCCAGTGGTTAGCTGCACAGGTACCGGAACCAGAGTTGAACCCTGGCTTAACTACTTACTAACTAGGTAACCAATGTGCCTCAGTTTTATCATCTGCAAAATGGGGCTAATATTAGTACCCACCTCCTAAGATTAGTGGGAGGACTAAAGCTGAATATGTGTGAAGAGCTTGGGACCAGTGGTACCTGGTACATAAGATGCACTTGATAAAGGCTAACTCTGACTAATAAAACATTATAGTATATTAGTTAAGCCAGTTTTTAGGATTTTTTTCAGTCTCCCAGAGTGAACTTCTAAAGAATTTGAAAAAATTAAGGGCTCGGAGTTAAATTATCAATACTTACTCTTTAACACAATTCCTAGCATTTTTATGATTGGTGTTGAATAGTTTGGAATGCGATTTGAAAAACAGTTGCTTTAACCTAACTGGGGAAAGATTCAGAATAGGGATAAGGTAGTAACTGGTAATATTCAGAACAATGAAACCTCAACAAATTGGAACTGAAAAATATCCAAGTTCTCATCGACATTTTTTCCTTGCTCTTTACTTTTAGGAGAAAATAGCTAATTCCAACAAGAGATCTGTATCACCAGACGGGAAGCTGAGGGTGAGGTCCTAGTCCCAGGGCAAGTGTGACCTCATGAAAGGCACTTCCCCAGGTGGGCTCCAGGGTCCCTGTGACAAAGGATGGTGATTCTAACTGTATTTCCAAGTCCCCATCTCTCCTCCTGTCAGAAGAACTCTGATTTCACCTATTTCAGATGTGGAGTTCCACTGAAGATTTCATTAAGGGAAAAGAATTCTGCCATTATAAAAGAACACAGAAACCAGAGCTTCAAGGTCCAAAATGAGCCAAGTGAAAGCTGACTGTATGTGAATAGTGAGGATTGAGTCCACACAACGCGCTTCAAAAAAGCATTTTGCAAACCCATTTGCACAGCACAGGCCCTTGAGGCAGCAGTGGGGGTTCCCTGGGCAGAAAGTCGGGTAGACACTCCTTTTGGCTGAGTCACAACACCCACTGGTTTCAAGCTTCATGAACCTGCATTAAGATACTTTTTAACTTTCACTCAACACAGAGCACGGGGCCCTGTGGAACTCAAACCCCTGGCCACGGTCGTTGAAAAGGGAAGCAGGTGCTCCACCGTCTCTGGAAATCAACAAATACTGCAGCTGGTCCCTGTCCTTGCTCTACCTACAGCAAAGCCCAGGTGAAAACACTTTCAAAATTATGAGGCAGAGACCAAACAAAACCCACAACCCAATTTAGTGCCATTCTGTTTTACATGATTTCCCATCTAGTCTCCAGCTCTTTGAATACTTTAACTGTAGCACAGCGCGAGGGACCCAGGGCTAATCAATACAGGTTTGCTCATTTGTGGACACCTGTCACATCACCCCCGTTACTCCATACCACAACTCCCATGTTCCCTTCGCTAATATTTAAAAAGCACAAAATTACTCCATCTCAGATCTTTAACTCAGCCGTAAACCGCTCTCACAATATTTCTGAAATTGTACAAGTGTTATTTCCAACTGTCATCCTGAGAACTGCTGATAGCATGATTTGGGAATATTTCCAATTCTGGCTGAGGCTGGGCGGGGGCCAAAGGCTAGGACTGGACTGTGTGTACAGACAATAAATCAGCCACAGGTGTTAAGAGGGTTTGGGCTTTGCTTCTCTGAAATAGTAACTGTTTCTGTTATTCTGCACTCGTAATAACATCCTGTCACACGGACCGCTTTCCCACAACTTTTACACTACCCAGAGATCTGTCACCAGCTTGTCCTGTGAGCAAAATGTCTTGTGATCAAGCTCTTTTCTGCATTATGGTTGCTGCCCCTCTCAAGAACAAACAAGGCCCACACACAACCCCTCGCCTCCCTGGGAGTCAACCAAATGCCTCGGATGGGAAAACATTCCAGCAAAATAAAAGCCGTTTTGGAAACCAATTTAAGTTTTTCCCATAGGGACCTTCTGGATAAGGACTTGCCATTGCCCTGAAACCTCCCAACACCGTGACCTATCCGAGAAGGAATGAACTGTCACGTCCGGGAGTCAGACAGGTTTTTTGGCTGACTTTTAGGTCTAGGTCTACTAGGTCGAGGAAGCACAAGGAATGGAAAGAAAACTTAGAGCTAACAGGGGCCTTTGTCAGGATGTGCTCGGTCACGTCAAGACCTAAACAAGTTGTCAAGGTAACAAGATGACAGGGTCAGGGCTATCCACCGGGACCCGCCCCATGGCCCTCGCGCGCTGAGTCGATGGACCAATGGACTGCGCGAGATGCTGGGACCCTGCTGCCCACCGCAGAGCCAAACGTCTCTCGGCGCGCGGGTCCCTGGCCCACTTGGGCGGGCCCTATCCGTCCACGACGCGGCGCACCGGGAGCCCCGCCGCTCCCCCACCCCGGAGCCGGGCGTTGAGCTCCTGCAGCTCGGCCTTCTCCGGGCCCGTCTGCAAGCGCCAGGACAGCATCTTACTGGGTGTGTGGGGCTCTCCCGGCCGATCGGTTCCCTCCTGCCCTGGTCTTGTCCCTACCGCCGCACCAACCCGACCCCGCCGCCGCCCCGGAGGCCCGCAGACTGGGGCGGGAGCTGGCGAGGCGCTGCACTTAGCGGACGGGGCGGGCCGTGTGGGCGCGGGCCACGGCCTCCAGCCAATCAGAGCGCGGCCCGGCGCGGTCACTGCGGCCGGACAGCGCCCCCTGCCGGAATGACCGCTGTGCTGCCAGGCGGCCCCGCCC